CAAAGCGCTCGGGATTGTCTTCTCCACCAAAACAAAGGCGTGCACGGCCGGAAACCACCCCTAAAACCTCGTGGGTGGTGCTGTGGAAGTGCGTTTGGCGGTACATAGAATAGACCCACTGCGGCGTGACCTCGCCCACATCCTCGAGTTGTGCTGCAAGGTCGCTAGCCGACGCGTCGAATGCTTTGTGGTAGATGATGAGTGGCTTTGACTGTATGGATGTATTCGGAAGACCCTGCCACCGAGGGATCTGGCGGTAGGTCACTTGGATGTCAGTGAGCGTCTTGAATGACATGATTGCGCCGAGCTTCTGGCAAGGCACGCGATAAGAGATGCGCGAGTTCGGACGGTGCGGAGGATGTCTTCCTGATTAAAAGGGCGACCGGCATTCGATTGAGCTAGACATGACGTCATTTGCAGCGCACGAAGTGGCAGGCTCTCTGATGCTACCAGTACTCAGCAGCAAACATGTTCGCTGCGACAACAATGGTCATTGTCCTGTCTCGGAAGGACAGAGGCGTCTGAGCATGGCGCTCATGAGCAACACTGCCGAGAGAACTTAAAATTTAGGCATGCTATAATGCAGCCAGCTCATTCGGATGGGGTTCCATGTCCCACTCTAGGCAAGCATGTCATGTCGGGGTGCCTGATGTGGGTTTCCGTCAGAGTTGAGTAGCCGCATGAATCAAACGAGACTTTTCAACAGTGGAAATCAAATTTCCTAGTTAACTTCCTGACCATTTTTCGAATGTCAGTTCACTCGATCAGGCAGTGGTCATAGTTGCTTAAGATTTACTTCAAGTCAGCCAGTAGATCACCGAGGAGATATTTCGATAGAGCTGCCTGACCGCTTACCGGAAGCGGCTCTCCCCCCCACGGCACTCATCGCCCAACGCCACGCCTTTTCTGGCTTGCTTCTCCATCCCCGATCTCTCCTCCAGCTTCAGGCGCGTCTCGTTTACTCCCCTATTTCTTTGACTCTAGGGACTTGCAGGTTGTGGTTTCATTTCTTTGTTTCCCCCAACCTATCATAACTCTCTAGATATCCTCTCTCCTCCCAGACCAGCTAGGAGGGACATCATTCGTCTCGCCGTCTCCGTCACCGCTGCCTTAACCGCCCTCCGCAGAGTGAGGTCATCCACTGTCCCTATCGCTTGCAACGTTGGAGGTAAGGCTGATGTATACCTGATCTCATCCGCATCTTTGCACGTTACACGGCGGTTTCCTTCCTTCATGTTGCGGTCCCTGCAGCAACATGTTTCCGTCGCCCCCCCGCAAGCTCTCTATGAGGCTATATTGGTCCTACCAGGCTAATGTTCACACGCATCTTCCACAGACCCGCGTTCAAGGCTCGAACCTGGGCGATCAAACACAAGATGCCGGCTCTTTTCCCCCAGACACCCCACAAGGATGATCTCGATGAGACGTTAGTTACCCAGGTCCAGTTTCTTATCCGCAAGGTCGGCTATTGAGGCGACTACTTCCGGGACACCGGCTGACTCAGGTAGATGGGCGTTCTTGGAGAAGGGCATTGACAGCGTGATGCTCAAACTAGAGGAAGGAGTTGACATGAAAACTGTATGTTTCTCAACACCCTCTCCATGTTGCACTGGTGTTTGTTACTTGTCGCGGCGCTGACCTCTTCACGCGGGCTTAGTACATGGCCCTTTACACGTATGGTTTGACCTCAAGGCGTACACTCCACCCAGGATACTCACAGTTTTGAAAATAGGGCGGTCCACAACTTTTGCACATCACAGAAAGCCGTTGGCAGCGGCAACGGTTTACAAGCTCATCGCGGCGGTCAGTTCCTTTGTCCCTTCTATCCTCTGGCCAAGATCTATGTGGGCCAGCGCTACAACGTATATTGACATCACCACTGCAGCCCATTTACTTGGGGAGGAACTCTACAAACTACTAGGTGAATACCTCTCACGCCACCTGTACGCTGTGTATAGAGAATCCGAGAGCCATGCGGAGGAGGCGTTGTTGGGGTTCTATATTCGCGAATGGCTTCGCTTCACCACTGCCGCCAAGTACATCAACCATCTCTTCCGTTACCTTAACAGACACTGGGTCAAACGCGAGATCGACGAGGGAAAGAAGAATGTCTACGATGTTTACACGCTGCACCTGGTGAAGTGGAAGGACGACTTCTTCATGAAGGTCCATGAGAAGGTTATGGAGGCTGTACTGAACCTGGTAGAAAAGCAGCGTAACGGCGAGACTATCGAGCAGTCACAAATCAAGAGCATCGTCGACTCGTTCGTTTCCCTTGGCCTTGACGAGACTGACAGCACCAGGTCAACGCTCGAGGTTTACCGCTACCACTTCGAGAAGCCATTCATCTCTGCCACCAGAGTTTACTACGAAAACGAGTCGCGGCAGTTTGTTACTGAGAACAGCGTGGTCGAGTACATGAAGAAAGCAGAAGCCCGTTTGGAGGAGGAAAAGGCTCGTGTCGGCTTGTACTTGCACCCAGACATTTCGAAACATCTGACCGACACTTGCCTGGATGTGCTGGTTACAGCTCACTCGGAACTCCTCCGAGATGAATTCCAGGTTCTGCTGGACAACGAGCGTCAAGATGATTTGGCTCGGATGTATAGCCTTCTGTCTCGAATCAAAGAGGGTCTGGATCCTCTCCGGACTAAGTTTGAAGCCCATGTGAGGAAGGCTGGCTTGGCCGCCGTGGAGAAGGTGGCCGCCGACGGAGAGACATCGTTCGAGCCTAAGATGTACGTGGACGCATTGTTACAGGTACATACCAGGTACCAAAGCTTGGTCAGTGAGGCATTCAACGGCGAATCTGAATTTGTCCGTTCTCTGGATAATGCTTGCCGCGAGTTTGTCAACCGCAACAAGATTTGCAAGTCTGGATCGACAAAGACACCCGAGTTGCTGGCGCGCTATACCGATTCGTTGTTGAAGAAGGGTTCTAAAGCTGCCGAGGAGTCGGAGTTGGAAGAGATGTTGGTGCAAATCATGACTGTCTTCAAGTACATTGAGGACAAGGACGTTTTTCAGAAGTTCTACTCCAAGATGCTCGCCAAACGTCTGGTACACGTCAGCTCCGTGTCTGACGATGCAGAAACCAGCATGATCAGCAAGCTCAAGGAGGCGTGCGGTTTCGAATACACAAACAAGCTGCAGCGCATGTTCCAAGACATTCAGATCTCGAAGGACTTGAACGCCAGCTACCGGGACTGGCAAGAGAAAGTACTCGATGAAGATGATCGGCGAAAGCTGGTCGACTCTCATTTCCAGATCCTCGGAACAGGATTCTGGCCTCTCAATGCGCCTACCACCGATTTTCTGGCACCACCTGAAATTGTCAAGACGTCTGAACGATTCCAGAGCTTCTACTTTGACAAGCACAGTGGCAGAAAGCTGACATGGCTTTGGCAGCTATGCAAGGGTGAAATCAAGGCAAACTACATCAAGAACACCAAAGTACCCTACACGTTCCAAGTATCCACATTCCAGATGGGGATCCTTCTACTCTTCAACGAGCACGACACCTTAAGCTACGAGGATATTCAAAAAGCCACTTCCCTTTCGCCTGAGATCCTTGATCCCAACCTAAGCATCTTCCTCAAGGCTAAAGTTCTGACTATCAATTCCGGAGGTTCCAAGCCGGAACCTGGGACGTCTTTCACCCTGAACTACAATTTCAAGAACAAGAAGATCAAGGTTAACCTCAACATTCAAATCAAGTCGGAGCAGAAGGTTGAGTCGGATGACACACACAAGACAATTGAGGAGGATCGTAAGCTCTTACTTCAGGTACGTTTCTCATCCTATCCCGTCGATATGCATCCCGCCTAATACTGTTCTAGTCTGCGATTGTCCGTATCATGAAGTCCCGCAAGAAGATGAAGCACGTACAATTGGTTCAAGAAGTGATCCAACAAGTCAAATCTCGCTTCCCTCCCAAGGTCCCCGACATCAAGAAGAATATCGAGGCTCTGATGGAGAAGGACTATATCGAGCGCTTGGATGGGGACGAGATTGCTTACATTGCATAAAGCTGGTGCCGCCATCACATTCACATCACCTTATTATCCATTACCTCATCGCAACTCTTTCTCATACTCCCCGTGTGTCCTGTTAGCGCGGTATCACTCATGCCCTCACATTTTGATTTGATTTAGGCCAGGTTTTATTGAGCCATGGAGGAGGGGTATTCTGTAGTTCTCTCATAGCGCTGCTACCACAAATGATAACCCAGATTATGCTTTCAGCTGGGACGGTTTCTTTTTTTAACTTCCCTCTGTCGGTTTCTCCTATAATCATTCATATTCTACCGCGGAATGTGAATTGCAACCCAAGATGAGACGATGCGATTGCCAGATGCTGTAACCTGCCCAAGCTGGAGATTCCATGTCCAGACGCTCTGTAGGTTACAGTAGCATCTTGTGACAGGTAGTATGAGGCTTGGTGATGTTGCACTCTGGAATCCTATGTTTATCTAGAGTATTTATCCGCAGGTTCCCGATATAGAAGCCGGCGAGAACCAGCCTCCACCGCCTGAAATCTTGTGCAACCTCAACACAGATAAGGCTGAGCGGCTTTCGGAATGACAGATACAGTTTCCAGCCCCAAGATCTTGATGTGACCAATGGATCAATCCAAACCAGGTGCAAGAATAGTTATATGCAGTCTGCACGATCTTCGAAGCCATGCGACAATACGAGGTTCACCTCAAACACAACATGCTCTCTCCTAAAACTGTGCGCCACCATCCTGGTGCACAACTGAGATGCCTCATGGCACGATAGAATTGCTTTTTCTTGCGGCTTGTCGAGACGCATGCTGTCACTGCATCCAACATATATGAGGCCGACAAAGGAGATGATAGTCCAGAGCTCTCGACATGCTAAATCATGCTTCGTGATATACAACAGTGAAGAGGAAGAGGAAAATCAGGGACAAGATTCCCAGATATCAATAGCAGTTTTCGACCCGGACTCTGAGAGCTCCTCTTTTCTGCATACAGGATGGGTCTAATCCCTTTTGTGACAAGCCCCTTGGTATGTCTTGATATCGCAAATCGCAACACTCAAAGACTAACAGCACCCGCCCAAGTCCGGGAGGAGCATTCCGCAGGGCTCGACGTTTGATAGTGAGCCCGGTCTGGCCACGCACGATGAAACCTTGTTCGAGAACCCTCAGTTCGAACACTATGAGGCTACTTCCAACATCCAGTTGTTTTTCGATTTGTTTTTCGTGGCCAATTTGACCTCCTTTGTGACTGCCCATGATGTGAACAGCAGTACGAGTATGTGGCCGATTCCTCACCCTGAATAATCAATCCCTGCGACACGTCTTGCTGATTTGCGTCCAGCGCTGGCGTCATATGTCGGCTTCATCAGTAATTTATGGTTCACTTGGTGCCAGGTCAGTCTGTACGACGTCCGGTTTGCCACAGACAGCATCTTCGAGCGTGTGGCCCACGCGTGCCATTTCGGCGTGATGATGGGGCTGGCCGTCATCGGCCCCAACTTCCTCAAGAAGGACACCTGGGGTCCCATGCAGCAGTTGTCGCTGATCCTCATGGTGAGCCGCTTGGTACTCGCGTGCCAGCACGGCACGACGCTCTATTTCACGTGGCATTACCGCAAGATTCGCGCGCCATTGTTGGTCACTTTGATCTCGCTGCTGGCCGCTGCAGCTGTTTACTTCGGTATATCGTTTGCGTTCCATTTCCGCATCACATGGAATGCCCATATAGCGTGGTATTGTGTTTCCGTGACCGAGGTGGTTCTCAACGTGGCCGTGGCCGCGCTTCGGCCGGCTCTCTCGCTTGAGAAGACCCATCTCGTAGAGAGGATGACCTTCTTGACTTTGATTATCGTATGTATGAATCCATATGTGTTCATGTAATATAATACTAAACTCTGTCTGCTAGTTGGGCGAGGGTATCATTCTTTTGACCAAGGTCATCAGCATGATCGGGAAGCTGGACCAGCGGTTCTTTCCTCCGGACATTGGAATGCTCATATCCTCCGTGGTAATTATTGTAAGAGCACCTCCCATTCAAAGAAATATATCTGGCCAGACTCCTTATCTATCACAGTACCTGACTTACCAACTGTACTTGACAACATCAGCAGCGTAGAAGCACTGGGTCCGATCGGCCAGCACCTTTGGGCCATGCTCCACTTCCCCTTCCACGTGTGCCTCTGCCTCATGATGGAAGGAATCAACCAGATCTTCATATGGGCGCACCTCTGGGCCGATATCAAGTACCTATTCGATCCCCTTGAGAAAAGCATCCAAAATGCCCCTGTCGACGAACTCAGTGAAATACTCGGGGAGACGTTAGACGACGTCCTGAACCGCTTCACCACTTACTTCCAAGTCATCGAAAGCGCATTCAACGCGACCAAAGCCCTGCCCTCGAACGCGGATGGGACCGAGTTCATCGAGACGGCGTGGCCGGCTATCATGGAGACGGTAACCATCATCGTGCACAACTTCGGATGGAACATCCCCAAGGAAGTGGCGGCCAAGGCGAACCTCACGATCCAGGAGGAGATCGATAATGAAGGTCTATGATCTGACTTTTGGTATGTACATCACCCCTCATCGTTGTCCTCTTTGGAATTTCACCGGGAAGCCTTTACAAAGGACTAACACCTTGACCCACCCCCCAGGGTACTTCTGCATCTGCACGGGCCTCTTCTTGATCTTCACGACGGTTTTCGCGATTCTATCGCTTCCTCGCGACCCCCAACATTTCCGCATGCGCCACTTCAGCACGGGCATCACCGCGCTCGTGGGCCTGGGCCTGGCGCTGCTCAGCCTGATGAACGTCACCGGAAAGAGCCAGGCAGTAGGCCAGTCGCCGTGGACACTCCCGGCGCTAGTGCTGATAATGCTCTTCTGTGAGTTTTCCTTTTTTTCTCCTTCGATTTTTCAGTCAGAACGTGGGAATTGGAAGACCCTTCGTCTCGTTCTCATACCTCGTTACAAGTGGACTCATTGACTGATCAATCCTCAGTGCTCGCGTTGCGTCACTTCGCTCGAGGAGGCTATGTGGCTTCGATACGGCACCCCTGATACCATAAATATAGACTGTACTATAGATGTTGCTTTTTTGTATGGTAGGGTAAGGGAAGGGGAATGTTCATGGCTTTTATCTTTCATTCCGGGTGCCAATCCTATCTTAGACACAGCATAAAGACGGAAACGATTGAGCAAAATACATTTTAATATTTCACTAATTACGTATCGAGTCGACATAGAGAACATGATAGAAGTAATAATGACATTCATATAGCCACTGCACCTCTCTTTCACTGCAGCTGCCTCCCCCTCCCTATTATCTTAGAAGCCAAAGACAGAGATTATAGCATCCTACCTACTAGTATGTTACACGGAGGCTTAGCTGGCCACAAGCAACCTGCTGGTCTGTATTACTACGTCCACCGCTGTGGCTTAGATTAGCACGCTGAAAGGATGCTTTAGAGTATAGTTCCCAGCATAATTAAAGGCAGGGTATGACTGTCAGAAATGTTGAAAGAAATTAGCACAGAGTGCAAAGTAACAGTAACTTTATCGCAATGTTCGAGACGGCAACACAAGAAGGGTCACCTGACCCTGTGCTCGTCCCGCCACGGATGTGAAGATCACGTGGTCAAGGATGACGCGCCCGTTCGCGTCTCGATCTTACCGCCCTCAATAATCTCGTCACTCTCTTTCTCCTCTCTCCCCTCTCCCCCTCAGATATTTCATCTCATCTCACCTTCGCTCTGTGCGATATCAACTCCATCATCCTTATCACCCATAGGGACTCGACTGTTCGCTCTTTGCCGTTCTCGCCGCTGGTCCTGCCGTTCCTGTGTTCTCATAGGACTCCAGGTTTGGATCTTGGATTGGGTACGTACGTGTGGCTAGGCCGCAAGAGCTTCTGATACCTTGGTTGCCGTTCGTCAATCAAGGAGTCATTTTCTTCTTGCCGTTCTCGCTGCTTGGCGTGCCATTCCTGTGTTCTCATAGGACTCTCCAACTCCTTAAACTGGAGTGAGCATGTACTTGTGGCCAGGCCGCGGGAGCTTTCGGTCGGTCTCTTTACTGTGGTTCTCTCAATTCTATCCCTGATTTCTTATTCGCCGGAGTCAGGGCTGCTCATCGCCTTTTCAAAGCCCGGGTGGGAGGGCTACTCGATCATTCGAGGGAACAATGTCGCCCGTATTGCCAGAGTCGCACTGGGTTTTGTCCAAGAAAGTTGTCGTTTCTGTACCAGGAACAAAACATTCTTGCGATGCCAGGTGTCGCATCGCCTTTTCCAACGACCCCGAGCGAGGATCTATCTCTCTTAGTATCAAGACAGCCCTTGCTAACTCCACTGACAGATCGGATTCACTAACACTGAATATCTGCCCCAAAGCGGTCCGGAACTCCTCGCTAGTTAAGAGAAGCAAACCTAATCTGTGCCCATCGGACTTGTCCTTGAAGATCCGACAAACTATAAGCGGTGCTACGGATGTTTCAACGCTCAGTATACATTTAGCTAGGCCTGGGATTGTTCTTTGTCCATCCTGGGCAAAGTCTCTGAGTTCTTCTGATCCAGAAGACTCAAATTTCATCGCATTCGCGCATATTTGTCAATCAAAATCTCTACGCCTACACTTTGCCCTGGTACAATTTCAGGAGGGGGAGTTTGAGTCGTTGAGAAAATTTTGCTCTAGAATACAAATCCTCCAGCCAGAGTCTTTCGACCATCATCGGCATGGTGTAGTCGAGAGAGATCCGAGTATATTCAAGCTTTCTCCACCCCCATATGATGAGGAACATGTACCAACACCGGCTGAGCAAGCGGATCCACCCCAATACAATGACCAACCCGGATTGAATCCGGTCATTGGCAAACGGGACAGAGGTATGCCCCATCTCCACAGTTCCAAGAGATTTCAGCTTTCATAGCCTGTTGATGGTCTCTAGGGTGGTCCCTGTCACCCGAAGAATGCTGCAAAAGGCCGCTTCTTACACAACCAGACTGGCTTGGAGCACCTACCGAAGTCAATACCCCAAGTACTTGCTCTCCGTCATCATCCTCAAACTCGATCCGTCCAACCCACTTTATACATGCTTCGTCACCCAACGACGCAGATCATTTTTCACTTAGATATCTTGAGCAGAAGCTTAGCCGACTTCCCGAAGATCGGGTTCGCGAGCTATTGATTCGCTCCGGACACCATCGTCTACTGGGCTTGTCAGGGGATGCAGATGGTGGTCTACCATCAAAGTCTGGCCCTTCGGGCGTCCATCTGATCGATCCTTACATCCAAAGATATATCGATGAGGAAATCCACAACAGTCTCAAATTACAGCAGGATATCGTACGCGATAGCATCAAATCAGAACTTGATGATATCGTTCAACACAGCATCAGATCAGAACTGCCTGATCTTGTCGACCATTTTCGCGAGGAGATTGCTGACGAACACAAGATAAAAGTGTGCGAGTTAGGCGAGGTGGTCCAGGACAGTATATGCGAGATACAAACTGTAACCAATGATGGTTCAGAGGTAATAGGGGACGTTACGACAGCACATATCGATGAACTTGATAAGCAGGCCGTCGAGGCGAAGAAAGCATTGAAGGAAATGGCTTTGAAGTTGACTGCTTCTCTCAGGGCCTCGTTTGATGATTTGCAAGGCTCCAGACATGAGAAACAGGGCACACACGCGAGATGCCGCTCTGTTTAAAACCTGGACTTGGGTCTTCTTACTCAATAGTTCGCTGTGTATCTAAGAATCCGTAGATATCTAGAATGAGATCAGATCAGTGGACAGTATTGAATTGAACTGCTAGACATAGATGGCATACCTACGGGAAGCGGCACCTAGTCGGGTTCTGTGGGAGTCCGCGATCATTGATCCATCACGGCGGCACACTGTTTGCTCATTTGCTCATTTGCTCCAGGCTATCAGCATCACTCACCTTCCACTCCCACTGCGACTCGTGCGTCACAGCATGTGTGCGTTCATCGTCAAAATACCACCAGCCCTCAAACAGCCCGAATGTGATATCGACCCAATACATGGTACTTGTCATTTCGAGCATTCTAAGGACACCGTCAGGTCGTAGGGCCTTGCGGATATTACTTGCAGACACCCTGAGATTGTGCGTGGCATGCACAGCGTTACTGGCGATGATGATGTGTTGCGTGCCAAGAAGATCATCGGCCGAAACCTTTTCAATATCATGTGTCCTGAATTTCATGAAGGGATACTGCTTGCCAAATCTCTTGCGAGCGGCAGCGACAAAGGACGGAGCGAGATCCGTGGTGTACACGACTGGAATGTTCAACTCCACGAGCAGAGGAACGAGCCATTTAGTCGTTCCTCCTGTACCAGCCCCCATCTCCAAAACCTTGATGGCGCCCTGAGTCATGTCGACTTTTGAAACGAGCCGGCTAATGAATTCTTCCATTTGACGGTAGAATAATCTGTTGAGCGGCCATTCCGCATACATATTGGAGACGAGGTCACGACCTTCCGCAGTTCCGAAGATCAACTTAATCCCATCTGTCTGCCCCTTGAGGACCTCGGCCAGCTGCGATCCGGTGTAGAAGGTAAGTTCATCAGCCATACTTTGGTCAGGGAAGCGAGCAACAAGTTCTGCGTCGATCTCGCTGCTTGAACGAGGAGGAAGAACCGCCGTGCGAGTGATGCAATCGCCGTCGATATTTACGAGCGGAGGCAGACTCCAGAGCAGGAATGGCAGCCACGATCGTTATATAAGATTGAGGCAGGCACGTGAGGGTCTCCCAAGCTCAGTGATGTCTGCCATTGGGTATTATGACTCTCTGAAGCTGCTGAAAGGCATTCCCGTCGAAGGACAGGGAAAGGGGCTGAAGAGCAGAACTGCAGGCTTGGAACCAGACATCTCGATGGCTGTTGTTGAGCCAGACCACCAATGGCAACGAGGATTGTAGTTGTTGAAATGGTGCGTTGACGTGAGAGTATAAGCCAGATCCCGGCAAGACGACCAATTTATCAAACGCAGGCAGCATGCCGACAAACATGCAGATTACGTTCAGGAAGTTCTTCCTGACCCAAGTACCTTGACCCGGATACGATAGAGTGTGAGCAGATACTCCGAGCTGACCGGTCGTGTACGCAATGGCATAGAGTTGAAGAACGGGCATTCAGTTACTCCGCCATGGGATATCCCGTCCGAACGAGAGAAACTGCATCTCCCGGAAGAGAGTATATTGTTTATGGTCCTCAAGCATACAGCTCTAACCTGGCACCTCCCTCCCTGCCATCTCTCGCAGCGTAGACTCGTCTATACTTCCGAGGATCAGCCTACAGCCCTAAACTCATTCACAGACCGAACTACAGCAACATGCCTTCCCCCCTCCGCCCCGAACCCATCGAGATCGCCATCATCGGCGGCGGCATCGTCGGCCTCGTGCTGGCCGTCGGCCTGCTCCGGCGCGGGATCCAGGTGACCGTCTACGAGCAAGCGCACGGCTTCCGGGAGATCGGTGCGGGGATCGCCTTCACCGCGAACGCCATTCAATATATGGAGCAGCTGGATCCGGCCATCGTGACGGCGCTGCGGTCGAGCGGGTCGGTCGCGACCTCCGCCAGCAACGGGGTGGACAAGGAGGCCCATGACTACCTGCGCTGGATCGAGGGGTACAATCAGCTCGATGCGGATGACCCCTCCTACCAGCGGATGTTGTACCAGATCGATGCCGGGCATCGAGGGTTTGAAGGGTGCCGGCGGGACCAGTTCCTGGAGGCGTTGGTGAAGGTGGTGCCGCCGGAGGCCATCCGGTGTCGAAGACGCTTGCAATGGATTGAGGAAAGCGGGCTGGATGAGAGGATTGGGCTGACGTTTGTGGATGGGACGCGGGTGGAGGTCGATGCTGGTGAGTGCATTCCTTACTGTCTGAGATACGAGATCTGACAGGCTGGATAAGTCATCGGCTGCGATGGGATCAAATCTCGTGTCCGAGACATTCTCTTCGGGGAAGGCAACCCCGTCTCCTACCCGCACTACACCCACGAGGTGGCCTACCGCACGCTCATCCCAATGGAGGCGGCCATCGCGGCGCTGGGCGAATACAAGGCCCGGAACCAGCACAACCACGTCGGCCCGCGGGCCCATCTCATCCACTACCTGGTGGCCAACAACACTCTGATCAACGCCACGGCGTTTGTCATGGATCGTGAGGAGTGGCTCGATGACAAGCAGATGGTGGCGCCGGCCTCGCGCGGGGAGCTCGAGGCAGCATTTGCTGACTGGAGCCCCTGTGTGCGCAACGTGATCCGCTTGTTTCCTGAGGAGCTGGAGAAATGGGCCTGCTTTGATCTGCGGGACTACCCGGCACCGTATTATAGTCGGGGGAAGATCTGCGTGGCCGGCGACGCGGCTCACGCCTCCACACCGCATCATGGGGCCGGCGCGGGAATGGGGGTTGAGGATGCGCTGTGTCTGTCGACTCTTATGGTGGAGGTGGTGGAGGCCGTCCAGAAGGAGCCGACGCTCAAAGGGACCGCCTTGAAGACGGCCTTTGAGACTTTTGGTGCTGTCCGACGCACGAGAAGCCAGTGGCTGGTGAACAGCAGCCGCACGGTGCGCGACTTCTACCATCAGGTCGACTGGGGCGAGCCGGCCAAGTGGGTCAAGGCAGAGACCTGTTTCGAGGAGCTCAAGGATCGGTCTCATAAGATTTGGCATTTTGATTATGAGGCCATGAAGGAGGAGGCTGTTTGGCTGTACAGGGAGAGGATGGGGTGGACTAGGCTTGGTGGTACAGTAACAGTTGTAATGTGCAGCGAGGTTGACTCTGTATCACTGGCTCATATGTAGCAAATGGGCACAGCTAATGCTTCTGATATACTCGACATTTCTTGCCAGTACTTAGTAATAATTATGGTTAAGGTGTGTGGTAGCCAACTGCCATACGCACCAGCCCATCGATTCTGCCTATAAATTCAGCCCTGGTGGATTATTTAGACGGAAACTACAACGATTCAGAGATACGCTCGTGGGCGATGTATAAAATCAATCATTTCTGGACAAGGTTCAAACCAGCCCTTTGGACCTGACCTTATCAATTGATTCATTCTTTGGTTTCTCCCGCAGCTCATCGAGCGAGATATAGCAATCATCGGGGCGGCGCTTCAGACACATACGCGGTGATTCTGGTGACGATGAACAGGCGTCTTGCCTGTTTGACACTTATTCTGCAGCCTTGTCAGCCAGCTGCACTGCCTCTGCAGTCTCCACTGGATAGACCGTAGTATACCTACGGTTCTGTAAGACATTCGCCTGTGTGTGGCTCTTCCCACCAAAGCAACCAAATGTCCTTGCCCAGTGGTCAGTCGGAGGGTATCGACCTTCAAATGAAGAGTATTGGTCAAGAGTCAAGGTTAATCTGAGAGAATCCCCTCTTGTCTAAAGTTTCTCTATTTGGAGTAGGACAGTGGCTGAACGCCTCGCAAAGGCCAACTTCACCATCCGGAGAATAGCAGCAACTGGCAAAACCCCGAAAACACCGTCTCCGAGCCCTAACTGGGACGCCGTGTATTTATCAACACCCTCACGAAGTGCCAACACAGTCAATCACATCACCGCATCATCCCCTCAATCCTACCAACCATACACATCACCATCAATACACCTCTGCCACCCCCCCAAAATGATCAACGCACCCACCCAAACAACCTCCCCAGCCTCAACCCCAACAACCCCCTCCCCCACCCAACGGCGGCCTCCTCGCCTGGCTCCACGTCCACGGCGGCTTCGCCCTCTTCCTCAACACCTGGGGCCTACTGAACACCTTCGGCGTCTTCCAAACGTACTTCGCAACCAGCCACCCAAGCACCTCCCCAAGCGCCATCGCCTGGATCGGATCCACACAAGCCACACTCCTCCTCCTCATCGGCGCAATCACCGGGCCCATCTACGACCGGGGCCACCTGCGCTCCCTTTTAGTATCTGGCACGAGTTGCATATTCCTCGGCCACATCTTCCTCCGCCTAAGCACTGAATACTACCAAGTCCTCCTCTCGCAAGGCATTTTGATTGGCCTCGGCGCCGGCAGCCTCTTCGTGCCCTGCGTCTCCGTACTCCCCAGCTATTTCAGCACGCACCTCGGCCTAGCACTAGGGCTGGCCGTCTCCGGCTCCGCCGCGGGGGGCATCATGTACCCGATCCTGCTGTACCGACCACTACCGCGGGTGGGGTTCGCGTGGTCCGTCCGGATCATGGGCTTCGTTTCGCTGGCCACGCTCGCCCTGCCCCTCGCCGTCATGCAGCAACGAACAAAACCCCCGCGGGCGCGGGCGCTCCTCGACCGCGCGGCGCTCCGCGACCCCCACTACTGCCTCTGCGTTGGGGCGTCGCTGCTCGCATTCATGGGCCTGTTCGTCCTCCTGTTCTACCTCTCCTACGCCGCGGAGCGGCAGGGCCCCACGTCGCAGAAAATTGGCGTTCGATATCGTGCCCATCCTCAACGCGGCCTCGTGTTTCGGGCGCACGGTCCCGAACGCGTTGGCGGATTGCGTGGGCCCGTTGAATTTGATTGCGCCGTGTTGTTTGGTCGTCGCGGGGTGTTTGTTTACTATGGTCGGGGTGGACGGGGTGGCGGGGTTCTTTAGTGGGGCGTTGATCGGGTTGCCGCCGTTGTCTCTTGTCTGTCTGACGAAGGAGAGAGCCATGATTGGGACGAGGATGGGGATGGGGTTTGGGGTGATTGGGCTGGGCGTGTTGGCGGGCGGTCCGGGGGGTGGGGCGATTCTGGGGGATGGTTCCGAAAAATTGGATTGGACGGGGCTGTGGGTGTTTGGCGGGGTGAGTGCGGGGGTTGGGGGGTTGTTTTATGCTATTTTACGCTGGTTGAGGGGGGGTTGGGGGTGAAGGGTTAAGGTGTAGTAGGCATAGGTGTATGTGAAGGTGGTGTATAACCTCTGTCTTGAATGGGTGCAAACTAGGTTACTCAGCAGAATAGCCCTAACTACTCCTACTCCCAAACATCCACCCCCCAATCCCCCCATAACTCCCTCTCCTCTCCTCTCCTCCCCTCAGGCCCAATATCTTTAAGAAGCACCCCCAACAACACACCGCATCGCCACCACCACTGCCCCTCGCACATCCCACAACCCACACTCCGCAAACGGATCCCCCGCAACCAACCGCCGAACTTCCTCCTCGCTCTCCGCCCGGAAACACATCACGCTGCCCGTCACCTCCGCCTCGTCCTCCTCCTCACCATCCTCCGGGTGTCGGGCCAGCGACGGACCGCCCCACACCCAAATCCCGGCGTCGATCAGCGGGCCGCGCGTAGGCGACGTGCGCGGCGCGGGTGTCGCGGCGTAGGGCTTGCGCTTCCGCTTGGGAGAGGGTGCGGTGCACCGGGGTGCGGATTAGGTAGTCGTTCTTGGGCTGAGGCATTTTAAGTTATGGGCTAGGTTGAGGGTTGAGGCTGGGTTGGATAAGTTGGGGGGATAGAGAGATGGGTAGGGGTGGGATGGGCGTACGGTGTTTTGGATTGGGTGTGGGTTCTGGACTGGTTTGAGGTGAGTTGTTGTTTGGAGGCTGTGAGATGTAGAGTCCGAGATTGAAATACGAGGAGGTAAGGTTCGCTGCTATTTATGTGCATGTTCACTATACTGAAACCATATCCCCTATGCTTAAAGAATGTCCCCGGACATTCTTTTGTGTCTGGTTATTCCGAGCAGAAAGTTTACTCCAAGGCGCTGAAGGCTATACGAGGGTATCGTCTGGCGGCACAGTAGATACTGTTGCCCCTGATGCATCTGGTGTACTCTCAGGCAACTATCAACGATGACTATTTAGCCCATAGCACACAGTATGACCACCAGAAACATCTCCAATCCAAGACCAAGACACCCACCAAGATGCTCCAATCCATCCTAACATCCCTCCAATTCTACCTCCCCAAATAGATCTCCACTGATCCCCAGCCCATCCCCGCTCAAGCCCAGGCCACCCAAGCCCCCAATCCCCGACCCCCACCCATCATCATCATCATCGGCGCAGGCATGGTCGGCCTCACGTCCTCTCACGACGACCTTCACACCAACACCCCAATGTTTTCAGCCCAGTCACAGTGACTTAAGGATTTCAGATTCCTACCCATATGCATACGTGTATGGCAAGCATTGCACCACCGCAATGTACGGGGACGCTCTCGCTCCGTTGATTCAAGATGACCCAAGTTGCCTTCCATCTGCTATACCGCCGGGGACTCCATCTCCATTTTATTCGCCGGGCAATGTTTGTCCACAAGGGTTCCCGACAGCCTGCCAAATGACTCGGAAGGTCTTGCAGTTTGGGGAGACGGCATACAAGTGCTGCCCCAGGCTAGTAGTAGGCTTCAACTGCCATGTCACCCATCACTGCACGCCACGCCTTGCTGATATACACAATTCAGTGGATACGTTTGTGCGATGGGACCTACTGGGTGTAGCAAATCACCGGGCGGGCCGACAATAACATCCGGGCCGTACATCACTTACCCTGACCATGACTCTTGTGAGTCCACGACATCATACACCACAATGATGTTGGATTCATTGCTGATCACAGCGCGTGCTAACATGCGCAAAATAGGATGTGATGGCACTACCAAGATCTGCGCCAAGGCTTCATGCAAGGGAGTGTGGTTGCCTAGGATATAGGCACCAATCTAGGCGCCCATGTCTATGAGCAGTCTGTTGCCTAGACCGACCTAGATATACTTATACATGACCAACCAACCATGTAGTGACAGAACAAACGTCAACACTATGGAACATTTACCCTGTGAACTGCTCCGATCTATTGGAGAGTATCTTCGACATGAAGAACATTCGTCAAAAAACTTACGCGCCCTGAGCTTATGTTCTCGGAAATTCCATGCGATTTTCCTACCATTACTTTATTCCCACCTCCAAGTTGGGTCTAATGACTTTTCTATCCGTGATGTTCACTTGGTGATCCAGCTCTGGGAAGATCCCCTAATCGCGAGCCAGGTGCGTCATCTAAAACTTTGCTGGTCGGGATCGGGATGTTGTCAATGTGAGTCGGACGTCATAAAACCATACGTGCCAGAGTACCAGGATGAATCCTCTGGCGACGAATTCGACCCACTGGAGGATAATGTGGTTCATTTCATGGACCGTGCCCTCGCGACGATTTTTGCGAGCCCAGAAGAACGAGGTCTCCAACGGCGATTTAGGAAGCACTTGCACGGAATGTGCGATGAGGCATGGGCTGCGCTTCTGCTCATTCCCCTGGCCAATCTACACACCATCGAGTTCACGCACGAGTGTTCTTCCCATCTCGTCTCACCGATTCTTCTTAAGGCTGCGCAGCACCAGCCTCCTTTTCACAACCCAGGAAGGCTTCCATTCCCCCATCTCCACGAAGTTCGCGCGAACTGCGCCTGGGGCGATTCTTATATCTACGAGTCCCTCCTAACGCCCTTCTTCTATTTCCCCGCCGTTCGCCGGATAAGTGGCAGCTTCATCAGGGAGGATGGAGGGATTATGAACTTGCCGCTTCCCATTCACCGGACCGCATGCAGCGTGAAAGAAATTGCTATTCAGAAGGTCTACTCTTCCGACACGATCCTCCGCTGGCTTGAGGCGAGCTCCGATCTCGAGCACGTTGCGTTCCAACTCTCCGTTCACCGTGACGATGGGTGGACTGATTTCGATGCATCGGAATTCCGGAAAGCTCTTCTTCTCTCTCGACAGACGCTGAAGACCCTGCGTTTGGAAGTGGATGAGTATTTTGATAAAGCAGTTACTAATTACCAAGACGACAACGAGGAGCCGTTTGGCGCATTCACGGATTTTACTATTCTCCAGGACCTGGTCATTAGGCATGCACACCTCACGGGGCAACCTTCCGCCACCGCAGTCCAGGATATACCGCAATTTTTAGTGAAGATGCTTCCTGTTTGCCTGAAACGCCTCACTGTGAAGGATATTATGGTCGACGATCTTTCGGATCTGCTGGTCATGCTTCTAGGGTTGGTGCAGCACAGGGATCTCTTTTGTCAGCTCGAACAAATCACATTGTGTCCGGGTTGGCTGGATGATGATCTGATACGTCCCCTGAGAGTGGCATCCGAAGCTGTGGGAATTAGCCTGAGTGTTTTGGACGATGATGACTACTCCTATGACTGAAGTCCTCGCAAGGAGAAGGACTCGGCGCTGTTTCATGTCATAAGTGCCACTGTTAATTGTCATGTTGTTTGCCTCTCCTTGTGTCTCTACTTCAATTCAGGCTTAAGCATCTGTGCACAGGAACGCTTTCAACTGCTCCCATCCATGTCCGAAATTTATCTTTGATACTGATAGCCGGGTTTCCCTTTGACATGACACTTCATGCTGAGTTGCAGAGTGCGAGAAAACGACCCCTCACGTCGCTAAACCCTCCCCATATCAGAATACGCGGCAGAGCTCTCCCTCGTCCGACTCCTCCCAGGCCTCGCTACCGACACAACGACGACACCAGACAAGTCCAGCTGGATCATACCTGCTCCTGATCGCTTGGAGCCGGGGGGGGGGGGGGAAGGTTTTTTTTTTTTTTTTTTTTTTTTTTTTTTTTTTTTTTTTTTTTTTTTTTTTTTTTCCACTCGGGCTCCAATGGGTTCGCCTTTTGTCCCCCCAAACCGGTCAGCAACTCCAACAACAGTGTAAACATTAATCGTTCGCGGAACAGACCTCATCGAAATAAGCGCCTGAATCAGGGGTCAGCTGGCCAAGGGCATAGCCCCTGTCATAGGTCATTTTATGGATAGCCTGCTCGGCGAGACCTGAGGGAAGAGACTCGTCCCAGCTTTGCGAGACTATGAGATGGACGACGGAGTCTCTCCAGGCCGGGTGTAAGACGTTATCTACGGGGACCTGTCTGCCATTCATGGTGCCCAACAGTCTCGGTGGCTGGCCCTGGCGCCCACTGCTAAGATTCAGGTGGGAAAAGGTCTCATCGTGGCGGTCGAAGCTTGATGAGTTCAGTAGAATCGTCAATGTTGTCGTGAACACGGTCTGAATTTTATGACTTATATCCCTTCAATAGCAAGGCCCAAAATTGTGAACGGTCTACGTCAGCGCGGTATGCGACCTCCAGCTTGAACGTGGAACCACCCCGAAGTATGAATCTAGATTAGCGATCAGACTAGTACGTAAGAGGCAACCTGCCGCCCGGTGGAAACCTGTCAGGAACAAATACAGATAATTTGCCGCTTATTTGAACATCAGGGTAGCAACCTGAAGGGGAGTTTTTAACCCTCAGCGATACCGCGTATGTATAGAGTAGCGAGTTCGAGTACCGAGGTCCATTTTCCAGTCTCTCAAGCAACGAATATAGCCTGCAACTTCATATGGTTCCCCCCATTTGGCTACGAAGGGAATGAAAAAGGTAATCGGCCCCCAGGGCTTAGGGGATCCTTACTCAACAGCCAGCTGACCTACTGGCGCAGGCAAAACCTGGTTCGGAAAAGGAAACCCCTTGAAAATCCGAATTTTGACCGAAAGAGGTATAAATACCATGGGGATCCACTTGCGACGTAGACTTCCGGCAACTCATCGGGGCCGGCTTTCAGGTGACCGATGGGCATCAAGGCTGTCATTGCCGGGGTTGTCTGTGCAAAGAACCCTTCTCTACCTTCAGGGTGGTACTGGATAGTTCTCTGTCAAGATTACTCTCAGCATAATGCCATCATAGAATGCCGAGACCTCATACTTTCGAAAGTGAGATGAAGTGCTTGCCCTCCTCTCGCCAGTAGAAAACTGTCTACCTGTCGCACAAAGTGCCAAGCGGACAAAAAATCTCTTTCCTCTTCCATTGGCTTGCAGATAGTAGTAGGCGTGGAGAAGCCACTAAATAAACTACCACGCTTTGATCAATGTGGTTGCCATACCCATCGGAATTGTCGACTGGTTCGCTCATTTCACCTTTGCTGTACGAAGTCTCCACTATGGTTTCCGGGACCCTGCCGGATAATGCAGGGTGACGAACATCAGTGGGAATCTAACCGTCTCCACCAACGGGCTATGTGGAAACGGTCCAACCTGTCTGGGTTCCTCTTTCGGGGACTGCTGCTTGCTATCGGGATATTGTGACAGTACTTCTGACTACTGCGCTGCGGGACTCTGCGACTCTACATCTGGTAGTTGTATCTCGGGCAATCCGATCTCTTTAGACGGGCTCTGTGCCTCCCTGTCATCAACCAATGCAACATGTACCGGAAGCCGATTTGGATCTTGTTGCTCCACGGGTGGATATTGCGGTAACACTTCTGACTATTGTGGCTACAAGACGTGCCAAAGCGCGTTTGGAAGCTGCATTAAGGCTCCTCCAGTCAGTTCAGATGGCTTGTGTAGTGCCTTATCAACTTCTAATACCACCTGTACTGGTAGTCCATTTAGCAACTGTTGTTTAAATAACAGATACTGTGGCAGCACCTCCGACTACTGTGCCTATAACAATTGTTTATCTGCATTTGGGACCTGTAATACTGGCCCCACAGTCAGCGCAGATGGCTTATATAAAGTGCTTTCTTCCTCTAACGCTACCTGCGCGGGTAGCACCTTCGGTGACTGCTGTTCCATTAATGGGTACTGTGGAAGTACAGACGAATACTGCGGTATTAGCTCTTATGACTTGTCCTATGGCACTTGTGAGGACGGATTGTGCGGCTCCATATCATTTGTTAACACCAGCTGTGCGGGCAGCCAGTTTGGTGACTGCTGCTCTACAAGCAGCTACTGTGGCAGCAGCGACGCATATTGCGGAGTTAGTCAGTATCAGTCTGCCTTTGGCAATTGCATTTAGCCGCCCATAAGCACCAATGGCCTCTGCAGTTTCATGTCCTCCGACAACGCAACGTGCTTGGGGAGTCAATTTGGGGTTTGCTGCTCCGTGAACGGCTATTGCGGTAGCTCAGATGCGTATTGTGCAGCGGCAAACTGCTTGGCAGAGTACAGTAGTTGTTCGGCTTGATTCATTCAGTCACAGAGAAGATCTAGAGAGTAGTATCCAACATGACGTGAGGATTTGAGGTATCTGGGCTTCGGAGCTTGGGGCTTCAAGGGTCATGCGGTTTGTTTGTAATCCGCAGTAAATAACACGTCACGTACTGTAGATCCTGTATTCTTTCCGGGTCACACCCGAAACATGAACATATCAAATTGCTTTCTAGTTGTCTTCCATTTGATCTGTCCCATGGGTTATGTCTCCCTTGGCCTCCTAAAGAGCCATGGCCTGCTACCCACGAGTTCCGTACCCGGCAAGGAGCGGGCTGAATGAACAGATGATAGGATGGACTCGAGTAGGCCATCTGCCTGCCATCGCCGTGCTTCTTGACTCTGCGGATTCTGCGGATCTGCCCACACACGACGACACGCCCCTCCACATCGCAATCAACAACAACCGTCCTGAGATTGCCCGCTTCCTGATCTCCCGCGGCTTCGATGTCAATCAGAAGGGCCGTGAGTCGTATGGCGCTGTTTGCTTACCTCCCCTGCACCTAGCCGGCATGGCAAACTCTCCAGAATTCATAGACCTGCTGCTCGACGCGGGGGCGGATGCCTCCCAGGACGACGTGTCGGCTGATGGATTCTGCGGCACGCAATTCGGACAGCTGGGTGAGGACGGAAGACCGCATACAGCCTTCATGACAACGGCCCACTGGGGCTGCGAAGCCGCCGTGCAACGCTTCATCGACCGGCTGCAGCCCGCGGGCCGTATCGCCGCAAGATAACAAAGGCCGCACTCCCCTTTACATGTACATTGAGACCCATTGCCACAACCCCGCCAGTCAACTCGGAGGCCACATACGTGCCGAGCATATCGAACTTTTGCTCCGGGCAGGGGCTGACCCGGACATTCGAGCGGCATCTGGCCAGTCGGCTAGGGAGTTGGCCGCATCAAAGGGGCTCATCTATGATGTTGAGATTGGTTCTATAGCCTCAGACGCAGGAGGAACCCAATGAACAATTATATCCAGACAATTGAGATCCTTTACACCAGAGTGCGTACCGTCTTCAAGGGATGAGAGAGCGACTGTTCGAGTCGACTTGGCTACCTACACAGTAACAAAGACATCAGAACTCTCGGACGTCTACTACCTGCAAATCAATCTTTTTCGTTTTCGCTAGTACTACCACTATCCAGTACGATACTCCAATTCAACCATTCTGATTTGTTTTGTCACCATCTTCGGTGAATGATCCATTCAAATCTTTGCTTTAGGTGTCCGGGGATTATCCAGTGGGTCCCAGGATCTCCCGGAATGTCAGAAAGTATATTATGTTTATCGCCAGACCCTGACTACTTGGCGCTCGTTATCGTCTGCCAATATTGACTGCAGATGTCAGAGGGCAAATTTCCTGAATAAGCGCCCATCATGAACTCTACGACTCACAAGCTGTACCCAGCAATTCCAGTTCTATTTCCGACGCCTCTGTAGCGATGAGAATAGCATCCAAATCAAATCACCACTTCATCACCATAAGATAACCGCTTTGAGTATGGGCAACAGTATCAGAAAACATTGGCCAGCGGTTCTATAAAACACAACCCGACTCAAAATAGCAGGTCGCAGCATCCGACTACATCCCCCCCCTCACTTCCTGATCCATATCACAGCTAGAAATAGCAATTGCTCTTCCATTCATTACGACATTCCATATATCAAGACTCCACAGGCTCCAAAACAGTCTAGTCTAAAGGACTTGAGAGATAGAAAACAATAAAAACCGGAATCATGAGTAGAGGTGATTGAAAAGAGTGCTTGACTGTGAAGATTTCCCTCTTTAAGTGTAGAAGGCATACATACCACTAAAGTTTCTATACCGTAATCGAGTACAGCCGCTACTTGCGCAGTGATGGATCTGCATAACTACTGCATCACTTGCACACAGTTGCACCGCTGCTAGAATTCTGAATACCATCAAGTTGATGGAAAACAGATGTCGCATTGTTTGAAAGCATACGTCTCAGTGTGCCTCACCTCAATCCTCCGTTTTCTGGTATACTACACAAACCTATTTCCGATTAGATTGTGCCTGAATCTGGCCCTACTGGATATCAGAACACTCTACGCCGATATGTCTTGGATGTACTACAAGATACATAGAAGACACCTATAAGGAAAGGTCGCAAAACAAGCTAAAGCAGTACTGGTAAACATAAGCATTCATCTTTGCAAAGGTCATCTATTAGACAGGCCTAAGACTCGACTACTACCACCACCACCACCACCCCCGCCACCTCCTCTCCTCCTCCAGCTCAATTATCCTACAGCCGGATCCAGTCCAGATTCACACCCCCCCGAACCTACACTACACTGAGTACAAACCAGTAATAACCAGATGCTCACAATCCTCAGCATTAACAGCTCGTTTCAAATAGTCCTTAACCGGTATTATACCTTCCTACAACTTCGAACCCCCATCTCCACGACACAGGTTGATTACCCCCTTAGCCCCAAATCTACTTCAACTTCTCCCCCGGCACCCCGATCGTCTCAATCAGCCTGCCCCGAATATGCTCGCCGACCACCGTCTCGACCCCGGACCCATCCAACGCCGCACACCTCAGCCCCAACTGCCCATTCAAGAAGAACGGAACACTATACCGATGCCGCTCCGCCGAAGTCACCACCCGATGCCGCGCGCTGCGATAGTACCCCGCCGTGAACTGCTGCACCATGTCCCTCGAGGGTATCTTCGTCCAACCCCCAAGAACCCGACCCTCACACAGAAAAGAAAAGCAGAGAGAAACAGAAACTCCGCCTTTTCCCCGGGGCCCTTGGTCGAGAAACTCCCACGGAGTATCTCGCCAACCCAGCCCTCGGCCGGTTAGTTTCTGAAGAGAACCAACCTTGCTGCACGCAACCACAACCACAACTACAACCATGACCCGCACACTCTACACCTCTGTCTATCAAAAAAAAAAAAAAAAAACAGAAAACCATTGACCTCAAACACAAACCCTACGCCCATCTCACCCTCCTCAACAAACCCAAATCAACCAGCCCCCTCAAACCAACCCAAAAAGAATGTCCACCACCACTTACCCCCTCCCCCCACCCCCCCCAAAACCCGCCTCGCCAATCGCGCCCACATCGAGTCCCAGCGCATCACCTTCGGCGGGCCGATGCTGTCCTCCCACCACGACTCGCCCGACAACGAGGAGAGGAAGCTCCGCCGCATCATCGGCAGCATCCACCTCTGCCGGGCCGCGTCCGCGGCCGAGGTGTGGGCGATGGTGGCGGCGGATCCGGACGGTCGGCGGGGAGTGTGGGAGGTCGAGAAGGGGGCGGTGGTTCCGATGCGGGTCTTGTTGGGGGTCCTTTCCGGTGGAAACTGGTTCTTGAGATGGGATTTGAGATTTGGGATTCGGAATTTCGGGAGGCTGGGGGTCGTTAGTTGGTTTGCCTTTGCTTGAGGTTGAGGGGCGGCGCTTTGCTGGGATGGTAGTTATAGTTCTTGAGAACCTTGTAAGGTGGGAAGGGGGGAGGGTTTTGCTTCAATGCTTGAGTTGGGGACTGGATGCCAATGTTTGTGTTTTGTATGGCTGGATGGGTTTGTGCTATGTATGTGCCTACTCAATGTCGAATGCACTGGGTAAGAGTCAGCGGGATGCTCAGTAGCTCAATAGCTGCTTGATACGAGGTCGGAAACAAGCAAGCAAGCAAGTAAGCAATGCATTCCCCGTCTGACAGCTCCCACTTAACCGAATATGGGGTAGTTCCTACTTGCACGCCGGAGGTAATGACTCGTAGCACCAGTAGTTGGTCTCCGTACTCCGTACTCGGTAAGGTACAGTACCGTCACGGGTCTCCGTACCGTACCTCACCTAAATCCCCGAGGCCGAGACTCCACCGCCGCCCGCCCGGAGTTGTCCACCGGAGATAGCCAATATACCGAGAACCAGCGTCAACTTGTGTATACACATACACATACACCACAGATAGACAACAGACACTACTATATAAGGTGACACTGCACGGCTACAAGATCCTACACAGTCCTACCACACAATCACAACAACAAAACCACTACACACAAACCAATCTCTTCAATTTCCTTAATCTCCTTAGCCTTCGCACTCGACTTCATCATCACCTAACCCATTCTCAACCACCGAACCCAATCACCACCACAATGTCCACATCCTCCAACTCCTCCAAGTCCCCCAACTCCCCCAACACAGCCGCCTGGCTCCTCGAACCCAAAGCCCACCCCTTCCAGCTACAACATGCGCCCCTCTGGGAACCCGCCGAGAACGAGATCCTGGTCCGCAACCACGCCGTGGCCATCAACCCCGTCGACGGCAGCCTCCAAACCAAGGCATGGTGGCCCATGGAATACCCGACCATCCTGGGCCAGGACGTCGCCGGGGAAGTCGTCCAGGTCGGGCCCCAAGTGACTCGGTTCCGGCCGGGCGATCGCGTGGCCGGGCTGGCCGTGGGCATGGCCACCAAGCGCGACCAGGACCACGCCTTCCAGGCCTACACCATCCTGCAGACCAACATGGCCAGCGAGCTGCCCGACACCCTGTCCTACGAGGCCGCCGCCGTCATCCCGCTGGGCCTGTCCACCGCCGCGTGCGGCCTGTTCCAGGACACTCATCTCGCGCTGCGGTATCCCTCGGCGCCGCACCGGCGGCCTTCCACCGAAGGGGAAAGGGAAACGCTGCTGGTCTGGGGCGGCGCCGGCAGCGTGGGCAGCAACGCCATCCAGCTGGCCGTCGCCGCCGGCTACGAGGTCGTCACGACGGCCTCGCCCCGGAATTTCGACCACGCCACGCGGCTCGGCGCCGGCCGGGTCTTCGACTACCGCAGCCCCACCGTCGTCGACGAGCTCGTGGCGTGGCTGGAGGGCAAGACCCTGGTCGGCGCCATGGATTGTATCGGGTTCGCCGCCACGCCGATGACCGTGGAGGTGGTCCGCCGGTCGCAGGGTGCGAAGTTCGTCGCCACGGTCAAGGGTGGGTTCGAGGCCCCCGACGGCGTGACCGTCAAGAGCGTCTTTGGGACCACGCTGAAGGACAATGCGGTGGGTAAGGCGATCTACGAGGACTTCCTCCCCCGCGCGCTGAAGGCAGGATCCTTCACCCCCGCCCCGGAGCCCCTGGTCGCAGGCCATGGTCTGCACAGCATCCAGGCAGCGGTCGATCGACAGGCGCAGGGCACCTCCGCGCAAAAGATTGTCGTCGTGCTGTGAGCGAGCTACCGGCCGGGTTTGTGTAACGCTGATTGTCGCATCGTTCCATCTGGTTCCCGAACTGCCTCGTATCCTATTGGCCTTGTCATTTGTCGCGATATGCTCCGCCCTGCCAGTTGGACTCATGCACCCCGGGACTGGCCACAGTATTCGTGTTGTCGGGATTTCGTTGAAGGAAAGTTTATGACACCATAGCCCCATAAGTAGGAGCAATAAAAGCCGTTGGCATGATAGAGCCGTTGACTCAAAACGCAAGGTCGTACACATTCCTGATGCCATCGGTACACCACTGACCTTCAAATAAAGTTTGCTGTCCTATAATCCGTACGTAGCTGACCAGCCGCACAGGAAGTCGAATGTAGAAATTGGACGTTTTACGGCCCTTCAGCCTCAATACTTGAAAGGTTAAATGCCCTAGTGCTTGGAAGAGCACATAGCCCGCGTGTAGATACCCCTCTTCTCTACCAAGGACAGCTTCTCACGAACATGTGCCATAAGCCTCGTGTCAGAGCCTCGGTCATGCCGCCTCTTTTCACAACATGTCAACCACGTTTGACGGGCTTGGCAACAAGCTTTGGCCAAAGATAGGACGAGGGTTCGGGCATCAAGCCCAGCATACGACAGGCAGTCATCGACAAGCCAAACCCTTAAGCTTATTCCCACCAGACCCAAGTGGGGTAATGAATAGAACTGAGCCAGAGACGTTGAAACAACCCAGAAAGGGCAAGTGCGCGGTTTGGAATGGTTTGTGCGCCTTTCCCATATACGGCCCTGACGGAAGTGGCGTCAGCGCAGGTGGTGGTTTGGTTAGAGTGAGTTGAGTTATCTGCAATCGATCCACAGAACTCAGCCTCAACACCCGTAACTCTAATGAGCCCAATAAACAAGGCTGTTGACAGCTAGAGTGTGCATGTTCCTCATGGTCATCACACATCGGCAGCCACCAGTTTGAATCCGACTTCAGTAGGCAGTGATGGCGCTTCGTGTTGTCATCAACAACCCAGAAAGAGAGTCTATCCCAACCAATATCTCAGGTGAGGATCGCCGTAATTCGTCCACCGGATCGCTGATCCGTATTTGAAGAACCTGAGACCAGCCGTGGCGCTTATGCGTTACCCGTCCCTACAGACGTAGAAAGGCAGCACATCGCAACACGGTCGCCTTTCTGGGGTCAAGCAAGATCGGAGAATCAAAGTGTAGGACAGCTCGTCGGTAAGACAGCCCTAAGCGAGAACTATACCCAGCACTACGCATCCGCGAGCAATCCGCTAAATGGTTCAGCGCTGATTCATATCAACTCAGCAACATCGGGTATCTAGACCGGTGTATTCTTTGAGCCAGCCTGCAGCTTTTCAACATGTCGCAAGTCGTCGAGAGCCGGGACAGCCCTCCCAGAAAGCGACAGAAGCCCGGAGCAGCGTGTGAGGAATGTCGACGGCGGAAGCTCCGTTGTGATCGCCGTCAGCCGCAGTGTGGCATGTGCCAGGCTTCAGGCGTCGAGTGTTTAGTGATTACCGCGCGCTCGCCGCGAGGCCCCAAGCGCGGATATCTCAAGGTGCTGCAGGCGAGAGTCGGTAAGTACGAGGTTGAACTCTCGAGAGGGTATTGCTAACATCTCCCAGCCACTCTGGAAAACATCCTACTTCAACATCAAGGTCAAAGCACGGTCACTCCTCCCGAGGCGCAGCCGCCAGAGACCCAGTTGCTGGATGAGCAGGTTGATCTGTCAGCGTGGGAGATACCCATGCTGGAAAACCAAATCGTGGAGGATTCGTACTCGGGCTTGACGGCAGAGAGCCTGCCCGGTTCTTTGTTGGGAGATGTCCCAACGCCAGTGCCTTCCATTTCCCCGCCAAGACAGCTGTCCAGCGTTGGAGACGAGATGTCCATCCCAGGTTTGGATCCTCTTTCAGTCCCGAGATCAGCGTCCGAGGACGTTAGTGAGGTTCACATATCAGAGTTGATGCAAGCAGACTTGTCAGTCCTCCATCCCAAATCCCAAATGACCATCTAACGGGTACAGGGATCAACTGTATTTCGATCGAGTCCAGAGCTTTATGCCCATTCAGCACCAGCGCCGCTACTTCGACTGGCGGCGGCTGCCCTTCCAAACAGAGGCACAGTCGTGCTTACAGCATGCTACATGGGCTCTCGCCGCCTCGATCTCCGTGCACTACCAGAGCATCGGTAGCTCCTTATATCAAAACGCGAGACGAAAATTGGAGGCGCTGGATTCCCACCCCGCAGCCATGCCCTCGATAGAGCTCGAGCAGGTGCAAGGATGGCTCTTGCTTGCCGTCTATGAGCTTATGGATGTTGACTTGCGCCGGAGCTGGATCAGCGCTGGACGAGCATTTCGGCTGATTCAGCTTGAGTGGCTCAATGGCCTTGACAGTACGGATCTCACGTGTGGACAGAGAGAATGGATCGAGTCGGAGCAGAAGCGCCGAACTTTCTGGATGGCTTATTGCTTGGACCGCTTCGTAAGCATGCGGACGGGGTCGCCGTTGACCTTCAGTGAACGCGTAAGTGGCGCTGAGTTACCCAATCTCAAAGGAAAAGCGGAACTAATTGAGCCAGGTGGCCATCCGCCTGCCAGCGCCAGAAGGGAATTTCCAGAATGATCAACCAATCTTGATGGGGTTCCTTCCTGAGGCTCTGTCAGCCACAGATCCCGCAGCTGTCTCAAGCTTCACCGAATGCATCGTCGCTGCGACAATTGGAGGCCGTGCACTCTCGCACCGCCACCAACTCCTCGTGCGCGACATCTACTACAACGCCACGGAAGACTTTCGAAAGCGGCACCAATGGATCAACTCGTTCTTGATGCGGCGCATGGAGGCTTTCGCGTCGCAGTACCCAGGCGATATGCCCCAGGCGGACCCTATGCTTCTATTTGTCAATCTCATGTGGCGAGCGATCATTCTTCACCTTTGTCAGACGATGGCTTGTGAGGCTCTCCCTGGAGAAGATGAGGATGAACTGTTGCGAGAGTACAAGAAGCAATCTTTGGCAGCTGCGCGAGATATCGTCGACTTGACGAATCGACTTTGTAATCTGAACTCTTTGAAGGTGAGACCTAGCATCCCGCGAGCTGTTACAGCGCTGACCCTCCAGGTCCATCCTCTGACAATGATCCCTATGTCAGTATGTGTTCAGTTCTTGATCATGTTTCAAAGGCCCGATGACTCCAATATGAAGCAGTTGCAGGACCTCACGGAGGCGATGCGTAGTCTGAAGCGGTTCAACAACAACCTTGGTCAGCCCGTTTTGCAGCTGGTGGAAGAGCAGATGCTAGCCAGAACATATTCTTCGCCTCCTTTTTGATTTGTCTGTCTTATCAGGCGTTCACATGTGGAGGAACCCCCAGCGAACCAAGTTGACAATGGTAAAAGGTAAGTAGACAAGCGATGTCCGTCCGTGCGTGCCCGGTACCAAATTGGCTTTCTGTAAATTTGTGTAACGTATAACTAGATTTGCGTTTTCGCAATCAGTTCATTATCTTCAAATTAGCAAATGGCAGTATTCCAAGTCTCAATCAAGCTTCATCCTAGTCAGTGCTCATGGAGGGGTTTCTTTAGGCTTGACGATAGCCGATGAGCGTAAAAATACATCCATTTTTGAAGCCCAAGTCTCCTTCCGATCGAGGGTAGAACGGGCGAACCAGGAGACCCAGAAGAAATATGTATATAATGACATTATGTTGAACAAAAATATTAAAAATTCCCCTATTTACTCACGCATATCTGCAAAGGGTGATATTATTAGACATGAAAATGTTCGGCTGGATTCGAACCCGAGGCCGAACTCGTCGCCACCTGCCGATGGAGCAGCTTATCATGGTTGGCCTGCATTCTCGGTGTGTATCTCAGAGGTGTTCGAATGTAGTTCTTCCTTAGGAGAGGGTGGCAGGGACGGGGAATTCCTCTGGGTTTCTGTAATTGTATGGACAGTGTTATCGGAGACTGTGGTCATGTCCTTCCCCTGGTTTTCGGCATCATGCTGAGTGGTGTGCTCTTGTTGACCAACCACTGCCTCGCTGTGAGTCTCACCAAGAGCTGGAGCCTCCTGCGACAAGGGGGACTTTGAATACGTAGTTTCCTGCTCGTCACTATCCCCTGTCTGGTCATCCTTGCGGCTGAACTCGCCGCTTTCGCGGCGGAGAAGAATATTGCTCCACCGCTTTCTCCTGCTTCCGCTCCGGGATAATGTCGAGAAGTCTTCACTTCGCCGTGATTGCATAGAGAGTCTACCTCGGTCTGTTTCACCCGCCTCAGTGCTGCAGGTCGAGGTGGGAACAGAGGGCGACGTCGTGATAGGTGATGTTGGCGTGGGCTTCTTTTCTTGCCATTCCTTTCGTTTCTCGCTGGCCCATGTGCCCCAAGAGCTAAAGTAGGCGCCCGCCTTTTGGCTCACAGCACTCACGGAAGCCTGTGCTTGTGCCATGTCCACCGAGGGGGCCTTACGTCCAGCGAACCACGAAGCCCCTCCAGTGGAATTGATCGATGCTGTATCAGAAGGAGAAAATGGAGGCGAGTTTCTGGATCCCCTGTCCAGTGACGATCGTTGCGAGGGTGTCGTTTTCTCTTCGGTCTTCTTCCGCTGGGCCTCCCGCATGGATTCAATATCTGCCCAGAAGCTGTTGAAAGCAGCACTGACTTTCTTCTGGCCTGTCGAGAGGTGTCTGTTCAGGGCCTCGCGGCCTTCCCGCACGCGCTCGTCTAAGTGCAGCTCGGCAACCTGTTGGGTTACACGTCGTTGAACATCGTCGATTGTCAGACCCCCTGCGCACGGGTGACGAGGCTCCACAATTGAAAATAAAAGCGCATCAGAGGTAAGGCGCTTGAACAATGAATAATTAGGTGTGTTGCTCCACTGCGCTAAGAATTCTGCATTGAACTCCAGCGCCGGATCACCCTCGATGTTGTAAGCGTCCAGCTGAGCACGGCTTCTTCCGCCTGGCTCACCAGTAGTGGAAGAGCTAAGCTCCTCGTGATACTGCATACAGGAGAGCAACGCCAAGAGATATTCCTCGAACTGGAGCCTGATAAATTCTTCGGAGCCCATGTAGCCATGCGTTTTGGGCTGCTGGGGATGCGCATCATCCCAGGTTTCATTGATGATTTGAGTGAGAAGGTCGATCCAGCGCCTATCCGCGACAGAGAGAGTAAGAGCATTTCTGAGGGACGGCGAGCTGATGGTAAGAGTGTCTTCGTCAAGCTGCACATAACATTAGCAGTTGAACTGGAATGGTATGGTACAATATCCTGACATTGACCAATATATCGCTATAGCGATCTTTTTGCTGCAGCAATAAAGAGTTTGTGGATCCAACAACATATGACTTGGTTCCGTGATCCGCCAGCAGATCCAGTTGCTGCAAGGGGGTGTATGGTCCGAACATGCTTCCCTACGAGAAGTTAGCTCGTCCAGGGTAATCAGGTGAAGATATACGCACCTTGCCAAAAATCTGTAGGGGTAGTCCCATGTATGCCAGCACTGCAGGGTTCAGCGTAAATCACAAATAAGCGGGGCCGACAGCATACAGGAGCTTCTGTCACTTGTCTTCAGAGAAGTGGGCTTTTCCACTGTCTGCGCATAGGTGTCAAAGGCTGGATCGGCAGAGTCTTGCAAGCGACTCATCAAACCCGGTATCAACGAGATAAGAGAGAATTGTATCATGCATAGCCGTTCACACTTGGAACCAAAGAACAGCATCTATTTCGGGTAAGCCGAGTCCTTTTTGGGCATAAGGGATGTACCTTGGGTTGCAGAAGCAGAGCTTTGAACAGGACAAGCGTCTGGTGCTTGAACTCATGAATCATTTCCCGCAGGGAAAGCCCTTCGCGCTTGCGTAAGCCCAGGTCGACCGTACGATCAGTCTCCATCGTCTTACCCAGATTCTGGTCCTTCGTATCCTCATCTTTCTTCAGGCTGATAACCAGCCCTTCTCGAAATTTCTAGACACAATGTCAATCGGAGACCATGGGTTTGTTCACACGGATGAGAGCACACCTTCAATATGTCGTGATCTGAAAAGTCGCTGTTGCATGTGTCAGCGATCGTGGCACCACCAAGAAGCCTCCAGACCAAAGTAGAACAACAGAGGAACACTTGGTAGCATTGCTGCACATACCGTTGCGCAAACCATGCCGACGTGACGATTGAGAGCTTCTCCCTCAGTTGCCCCAACCTCTGGGGACTGTCCGTTATCACAACCACCGCTTTCTGCACCGTTGACCTTGTGACGTCCGGCGGTCGATAGAGGAGAATATTCGAGTCGATTTGTCGGGAGCATGAGATGCCGAACAGGGAGGTGGCAGGTTGTGTCGCAGTCTCCTTCCGGCGGACCGTGAAATAAGAGAACTCCTCGGTGGACCTGGTGGGCAATGGGTATGAGCTCAAATGAGCATTTCGTACGGGGATACGGGATTAGGAATGGAAAGCAAGCTCGGGTCGTACAAATGCGCTCCGTCCGATAAGGCCATGAATGGCAGCAAGGACCAGTCGTTCTCCGCGGCCGGGTCTCCTCCATCGTCACCGAAGCATAGTTCAATTTCAGGGCCTCTAGACAAGTTTGATAGAAGTTCACAATTAGCTTGTCATTCTTGCACTATGGCGAAAGGAGAAAAGTGAGAGATAGGGGTTCGGTGCGGATTGCGCCCACCCGCGGCGCAAAGGACAAGCGCACCCGCAAGAATGTTTCCGACATGCTTGCTCTGAATCGATCGGTCTCGCCACCGTCGAGAGAATAGAGAAAGCCACCGCTCCGTTGACTTCCCTCTACTCTCTTTCTCAAGTATGTACATACCTTGCATGGTGAAAATCTATGACCATCACAATGGGGTCCTGCCGGGGGTGGACGTGAGACATGGCGGGGAGGGGGGAAACTATTGAAGCCGAGGAATTGACACGTTCCAAGCAGAACTCCTCCTTAAAGAGGAGGAATCCCCTCCCAGATCACTTAAATGAAGGAATTGGGAGTAGCGTTGGGTGCTACCGAGTCGATAATAATTAAAGCAAAACCCCCAGTTGAGGGACTAACTAGTAAATAGCTCAGAGATATGGAGATGGGGAGGGGGAGGGGAGGGGGTTGAAGCCGACCAGGGAAAGGAGGTTTTGGATCCGAAGTCCAGACAAGAGATTCAACGGTTCCCTTTCCGCTTTTCCCCCTCTTGCGCGCCCCCCCCTCCTCCTCCTCCTCCTCCTCCTCCTCCTCCTCCTCCTC